TTGCCTTCCCCGACATGGGACCAAAAAGCAATGGAACCAAGGCAACCACGTTCTGCTAGGTCGCTGGCAACAATTTGCCCATGAAGGTAATATGTAAAATTTTCACTTCAAATTCACCACATTTCAAACCAAATTGACCACTCTTTTAGGACCAGGCAATTCACCAACCACACCGCGCCAGGCCCCACTGCGAGCCCCTCCCCGACGGTCACGCCCATTTGTCAACGCGCCCATAGATTTTTCAACACATCGACACATGGCCGACACCGCCCATTCTTTAACACGTTGACGACCGCGCAGGTTTTTACGTTTCGGCCACGTGGGACCGGCGCGCTTTCTTGGACGGCACAAGCGCGGCATGCGTACACTTCAGGCCGTCCCACGAAGCGCTTTTCTAGAAGATTGGATCAAAAAACCAAGTTTTTAAAGCAGTTAAGAAGTAAGTCAATTATTTACCACGGAAAAATCTGGGCTGGTCAGCTTTCTTCGCACCACTGCCAGGAAATAGTATGTAACCGACAATTCATAAAAAAGCAAATCGCCCTTTCTATAGGATTCAGAATCCTTCACCTTATATTTTTTCATCATTATCAATATCGTAAGCGTCTGTACTTGTTGGCAAAATAAGCAAACCAATCCAGAGTAAAGGAGCAAAACAATTCAGGCAAAGAATGATGTTTCCTCAAAAAGTCTTTGCTAAACTATTGTGTACTGAGCTATTCCAGGGACCACGCGCTGTACGAGTATACAAAGGACTGGAAGAATGAATAGGAGAAACTAAACAATATCATGCACTACTGAAAGATGGATTTGTTCACCGTGATTCGTATACAATTCGCGTGGTCCCACGCGGAATACAAAGCGCGCATTGGATGCGAATCACGCGGTTGTCAATGTGTTAAAGGACTTGTTGCGAGCTTCGAAATTTCATAACCTTTTCAACTTCTTAACTTCACATCACTCTTCGCACAATGAAGACACTCGTACCCGCGCATGCACCGGCAACTTAGGCCCCGCCCCTTGGCCACGCCCACTTGTTTCTTGCGGAATTTTGATATTTTTTCAAAATTTTGGCATTTTTGCACTGCTCCACGAAGCCCCGCCCACCGTGAGAGGCCCCGCTCACTTCGGAGAAATGCCCACTTTTCAGAAATGGTACCGCAGTATAGAGCCTTGGTTTGCATACTAGGGTCTCGTCCGTCACTCGGAACAAAATCAGGCAAAGTTTGTTCCGAATGGCCAGCAATATCCTAGCCATGCAAGCGAAGGCTCTATACTGCCGACTTGCACCTTTTTTTCGAAAGTGGGTGGGGAGCCTTCAAAATGGGCGGAGCCTTTCACAGTGGGCGGGGCTTCATCCAAAAATGCAAAAATTCTGAAAAAATGCAAAAATTAGCAAAAAGCAGGTGGGCGTGGTCGGAGGCGGCACCTGAACTGCCGGTGCACAATTGCGCGGTTACGAGTATCCTCGTTATGCAAAGAGTGGATGTGAAGTTGAAAAAGTTATGAAAGTTCAAAGTTCGCAGCAAACCGGTGTGGATGGTGTCGGCCATGTGTTGAAAATCTGTGTCCGCGCTGACAAGTAGGCCGTCCATTATTCGCAGTGGTGTCTGGCGTGATCTGGTTGGCGAACTGTCTGGTATAGAAAGAGTGGTGAATTTGACTTGAAAAGTAGTGAATTTGGTTCAAAAAGTGGTGAATTTAAAGTGAAAATGGTATATATACAGGACGGGGTTCTTCCTCGATTTTCAAGGCACCTCAAGTCAGTTTCCTCAGATTCTGGTTGCACGTTTCGACCATCAAATTCAACAACATATTGTACACTATCACTAAACTCCGCCACAGCCTTCTGGACGAACGCCATCTAGAGATACTGCCACGCGACCGTGATTCGGTGCCTGAGTTCAGCGAGATCATTGATTTCTCCACCACTGTAGGCCACCCTGTTGAGCTCCGCTCGAGCCCGGTAAACGAGGGGATTTAGGTCAGATGACACACTTAGATATTCCTTCTTGTTCTCGTTCTCAACGCCCTTCGATTGCGAATGGGCGAAAGTTTTCCCAACGCCTTCCGATTAAACGTGCTGGCACCAGTCCTGTAGTAGCACGAAAGTTTCCAAGATGGTACAAGCTACGACATAAAGGCAAGATATTCTCCGTTGCTCTATGTAACCGTCGGCGCTCACTTCCATTCCGAAGTGCACGAAGAAAATATCGGTCTTCCCATTCAAGGTAATTCCAGTCCACACCATCATCTCGCGCCTTGGCGACTGCGGTAAAGATGCTGTCCTGAACCGTAGCGAGCTTGTGATAACTGCTCGATGTTGAAGGTCTTCCAGATCAAGAGTGCTGGTCTCCAGGTAGCTGTTCATGAGTGACTCCGCGCAAGAGCTTTCGCAGCCGTTTAGAGGTGACGTAAATTCCATGGATCTTTTTCAGTTTGGCTACAATTGGAGATGACTTCATATTTTGGTGTGCATGAAGGTGATGGACGAGAGCTGCTCCTGCTTATCGAGGAATATCTTGGGTGTCTACCGCCCTGGTGCACGTATCCACATCTTCTATCTGGGCTGCTTAGACTTTACTGATTCACTTGTCTCGAAAAAAAAAACTTGGAAAATGTTACGAACTTTTGAGACAACCTAACAGTTACTCAGACTGGAAGCAAGAGGGGGGGGGGGTGGCGCTACCGATCATAAGTCGGCAACAACTTGTGCTGAGAGCTTACCCCTATGACTACGATAAACCATCTCCGTGAACTTGCTTGCTGGAATACTTTCCCCGATGTGTCCATGTGAGTTGCATCGGTCTGCTACAGCTAAGGTGATCGTGTTCGCAGAGGTAGCCCTTATTTTTCGCAGATCATTGACGATCATAAGAATTCCTTGGTATACACATGGAATGGCGATGAGAACCTGAATGATTCACTCGAATGCACCTGAGCTTCGCGGGTTCGTCCAAAGAGAAACGCTGCTTGCTAAGCCAACGCTAAGATAAATCAGACGGGTACGAAAAAAGGCTTCACGTGGACCTCAAAGAGATGCCGTAGATATTGATGCAGTAATGAAGCAGTCTTCTGAAGATGAAGAAGAAGGAAGAAGAAGAAGAAGAAGAGAAGAAGAAAAAAAAAAGAAGAAAAAGAAGAAGAAGAAGAAAGAAGAAGAAGAAGAGAGAAGAAATAGAAGAAGAAGAAGAAGAAGAAGAAGAAGAAGAAGAAGACAGACACAGTAGTTTCCAGCGGAAATCCTTTTTTTGCTCCTAATTTCCCTCAGAGTTAGATAACATATTAAGACCGATATTTAGCGTTGACTTAGAAACGGAATCGGTCGTTTCTCATCGCTGTCGCTGCACTTCTGGAACAGCAGGATTGAGCATGTGCTCAACGGATCAGCTTCCATTCTTATCACGTTGCCAACAATGCGTCTCAATGCTAAGATGCACTACCTTAGCACTATAACCTAAATTTCAAAAACGGACAAAAACCGCGTTGTCGCTAACGCGTTAATGATGATGGTTGCTCTGCTGATCCAGAAAGAAAGTCCACCATCCGAGATCCCGTATAAAACTAAGCGAACAAAAACGTACGCCAGGCGTGCCTGGACAGCAGTGCTGCTCGAGTCTGCTTTATGTGGAAACAGCCCATCCGCAAATCTCTGTGTCACGAGCATGAGATATAACTGGAACCGAAGAGGCTTTTAAATTGGTCGACACCTAACTGCAAAGAGCCGTTGCTAAAGCGAAGGTAGTAAACGTGAAGAGGTTAGGATGTGTTACGTTCAAGGTTCTGATCGCCGCCCTGACGCGACTCCTTCAAGACAGAGTCTGCAGTCCATTGCATGAGATGGTGTGGGATCCCACTTCTGGTTGAGAAACATCACTTTTACCAGAAAAGCCTGCTCATGAACGCAAGACTTCTGCTGAATTAGTGGTCGCTTTTCCTATTTTTGTTGAGTGGGGGCTCTGCGGCCTATGTTGTCTGGTCCATCGCCAGCGTGTTCAGCGTCTTTCTGTTTTGTTTTGTTCGCATAGGCGTCCAGCAGTGAAAATTTATAGTGCCTTCTTTTGACTTTTTTTTGAAGGTTTCTTTCGCTGCTTTCTTCACTGGAAATTCAATCAGCACTCACAGCACTCATGTATGTGCCCTTCTACCCACAACTTACGGACGCGAAATATGCACTTGACCCCTCGGACACATTCCTACGTACAACCAGCTCGTGAAGACTTATTGGCACATTTCGGAGAAAGTGCTATGAACGAAATTAGCGTTTGTCTCCAAGATCACATCGATTGTTATCGAATTAGCCAGGTCCATCTCTCAGCCACAGCGTAGCTTCAAGCTCTGAAAGGTTCTACGAGACTGTAAAACACACGACCGCAGAAAAGTCGCAATACACTCAATAAACAGAGGCGAAAACCTTTGAAATGCGTTCTGACTTCTTTCCTGAACAATTTTTCCAGAAAGTAAGGGGTTTTCCCGCCAATTTAACACCACTAAATTATGATGGCCGCTCACGGGCATAACTAATCATTACAGAGGAAAGCGTGTACGAATTTAGGTGAAAAGCTCACATGTTGAACGAAGATTGTGCCCTGGATAGATTTGATCCCTTGAACACGAACACCGCATACCGTTGAGCCTGGAGACCCCCTAGGATGGTAGGAAGTGCTCGCGTAAAGTAACGAATAAGCAAGCACCAATGTATTAGCGATGTAAGCGAAAAAAATTTGTTTAGCGAGAATCTGCAACCGTGTGCCTACCACAAGAGAGCTCTGCAAGCAAAGCCCACTACAACCGAAAACTGTTTGATAAATATGAAGTCGATTCGAGATTGGCTCTCCAAGACGCATTAAAGAGCATTTATTGTTTTAGCATGAGAACTTCGGCCTCTGTTCTGCCTCTTCCAATATGTCGCTTCTCTTACTTCTGCATGCATCCTTGTGATAGACAGGACATGGTAAGCTAATTTATATTTCGTGGACACAGATTAGAGACTTTAAGTTTCAGAAAATTCTCTTACACTGCAATTCGTCTTCTGACGACAAAACTTCGACTTTCACTGCCACCGAAGAATTAGGAAGAACCGACTTGCCAGTCCTCTCCATCCTAAAAGGAAAAATCTCAAGAGAATAAATGGGAAACGTTTGGATCGTTTTCATGACGCGTTCAGTAAACGGCGCGGCCGCATCGGGTAGGATAACAATGGTACGATCGCACTTCGTTAACGACTTCTCGCGCCTGGATTCGAGGCATAATTAGCGAGGTGCGAAGAAACTTCATTAAGCCGATCAGCGAGGTGCGAAGCGACCTCATTAGCCGAGGCACGTCGTACTCAACTGCAGCTGACCTCACTTCAAGGAAAAGCTACTAAGCTATCCAAATCGGAATAAATCCATTGCAAGATTTCGGATAAAGTGGGTAAAAAAAGATTGCCATATATTTCATATATTTATTATTATTATTATTAATTATTATTATTATTATTAGTTTATTATTATTATATTCACTTAAACAAGAACAAGTGTACTACTTATTATCAATAATTAACAAATGTATTATACAGTTTTGTTTGTGACGAATTGAGACATTTTTATGCAGTAGCACTCTATTTGGGCACTAGATACTCCCTGCTGATAAAGTTCGTTGAATCTGAAAATAAGTACCGTGTCTTTGAGAGGTGCAATGAAGAAAGGGATCTGAAAGGTGTCATACTTTGCCATTTCCTCAGATTTCTGTTTCCTCACCATGTACACCTTTCGCACTGCCTTAGCGTGGGTGTTGCTGAAGAGGAAGTTGCCCCGGAGGTGGAAAAAGTGTATGAAGAGAAGGGCTCCACTAATTAAGAAGTTTCTGGTACAGGAGTAACGGTGTATGTTGGATCCCGAGCGACGTAGTAGAAAGGTGCCGGCGCGGGGGGGGAACTATGTGGTGGTGCAAGCCCTACGTCGTACGAAGGTGCTGGTGGCGGTGTTACATACAGAGGAGTGGGGCACGATGTCTGAGGGAACCCTGGAAAGGTTTCATACGCATAAGAACGGGAATCAGAAATTTTTTGATTCCCTGATAGCTTAGTTTTCACTCGATTTATTCCGATTTCGATAACTCAATGACTCTCATTGAATGAGGTCACTTGGCATTGGAGCACGATTTCCCCCTGCTTAATGAGGTCGCTTCGCACCTCGTTAATGATGTCTCGCACCTAGGGGCAAGGCATAAGCGAGGCATAATTAGCGTAGGTGTGATCGTACCATTTTTATCTAACCCGGCCGCATCCGGTGAGCAGCGACCACCGGAGAATCATTTACGAGTAGTTGGAGTATTCGAACAAGTGCTGTCGTGTTTCGTCACTTCTTCATCATACTTACAGGCTTGTACTATTCCTACCCCAAAACTTAAAAAAAATTTTCGCTGAAACGTTGCCTATAGGTGTAATTCGATATCCTGATCACGAATATCACATTCGTTTTGAGCGCTGACGTCATTTGGCGCCATTATGCGCCAATTTGGCGTCCACCACTTTTGTCACCAAAGTCGAGAAAACTTGCATAGAGGGGTTAATTGAGGTCCTGATTACGATTCCAACGTTTATTTTTGGCGCCGCGCCATTCAGCGCCATTACGAGCCAATTTGGCACCATATTAACGCATAGTGAAGCCAAATCGCGCCAGCGCTCAAAACCAGTGCGATATTCGTAATTAGGATGTCGGTTAACCCCTATATGCAAGTTTTCATCGACTTTGGTGACAAAAGTGGTGAACGCCAAACTGGCGCATAATGGCGCCAAATGACGCCAGCAGATGTGATATTCGTGATCAGCGCATCGAATCACATCTATAGGCAACGTTTCAGCGAAAAAATTTTTTGAGTTTTTTCGGGATAGGAGTAGTTCAATAGTGCCTACTTACGAAACTATGACGAAGAACTTGACTCCGAACAAGTCTCGAACATGAAGCACATGCCTCCCGGACTAGTGAGACACATTCGGCGATAACCCGATAAATAGAATTTCTTTCTTGCTTAGGCGGTCAGGTTCGCAATTTCGGGGTTACCCCATTTCAAAAGCAATTCCCAACGGCGCAATAGCCGTCATAAGCCGCCCGTGAAACGTGCTTGACCCATCTAGCGACCGGATACGCCAGTGGTCCTATATCTATAATCTTGAAAGATATTGGGTTGGCACATAAGTACTTTCGTTTTTTTCAGCCGGAAATTTCGTTCCAAAGATGAAATGTTTTGCTAGCAAGCTTGATATCATCTAATAGGAAACTTCACGTAGTTTTAGAATATTAGAATGGCTTCGGCTGAGGGAATAATTTTTGTGGAATTTTCAGTCGTTGAAGTTGAAAGCGAAGTCAGCGAAAATTAACACCTTCGACAAATGCCTCTATTTACTTCTACTCGAAGTGCTAAAATCATTTAAGCGGCTCTATACATTTGGAAAAGGTTGAGCTAGAAGTCTCAGCAAGAGAATCTCCATAGGACGCTTCATAACGAATTTCATGAATTTCAAAGTTGGCAACCTTCATCTCGCCGATATTGGGCAACTCACGTCTGTTCCACCTAAAATTTTATGCCAATATTCGAATGTTTCGCTGATATGTTTTGATGTTGTGATAGCAAATTTCGTGCTTTATAAGACTGCTATAGAAATCTGTTCTCCAGAGGTGTTTGCTTTGCGTAAAGTTGAGGTTATCATTACGGAACGCGAAGTCGTTGAGAACTAGTTCCCGTTCTCCACGAATTTTATGCTAACATTTGAATGTTTCGCTAATGCGTTCTATATGTTCTGATAACCAATTTCGTGCTCTATAACACTGCGTTGCTGTTATTTGAAAAATCCGTTTGATGAAGCTCGTTTTTCAGGTGGATAATATGGAATGTCAGGTCGATAAGCATCAGCACTTCAGACACCTCCTCCTTTTCGCTTTCAACAGAGGTATCAGAGCTGCTGATGCTGCTCGAGAAATTCGCTAAGAGCTGTCCTAACACTAATCTGTTGCTCTAAGCCTTACTCGCAAACGCTAGCAAAACGCTGGTGAAACGCTGGCGTAACGCTAGCGTACGCCAGCGTTACGCTGGTGACGCTGGATCGATATCCGTCCTCTCCCCGGCACTGCCGCTGGCGTACGCTGGAAGCGCTACACTACGCTACGCTACGCTGCCGCAAAGTATAAACGCAGCTTTAGAGAGATCTACGACGGAATTCATCGAGCTCTTTTATATTAGAGAGATCTACGACGGAATTCATCGAGCTCTTTTATATTTAGCTTATCAACAATGACTAAGAAAAATAAGAGGCTTCCGAGCGAAAAAGTGGATTCCAATCAGCTGCATCAAAGGCCGTAAAATCAGAAATACTGTCTTTGTGTGACGTAGGATATCGAGAATATCTCATCGTGATTGATCAAAAAAAAGCAGTATCAAAAAGAAAGAAATGAGATGGATCAAACGCACTTCGCAAAATCGTTGAGATACTTCTGAAGATCCTGGTCAATGAGTCTGTTACTATCACAACGAAACAATTGCATTGTACTGAACCCTTTGGTGAATCGGGAATGTGATGCCGCTCTAGTGAGCTTTTCCTCGAGCAGTGGTCTGAAGAAAAACACTCATCAATTATTTGATACGAAAACCGAATCATAGAATCATAGGACAGAAACCAATCAAACCATAGAATAAAAATCAAAACATAGAACAGGAACAACCGACGACCTAGCTGCCCACGCGAATCGTTGCTTGTATTTGGAGAGACGAGGAAAGGACGACTGTATTAACTTTTGCAGTTTCACGGCAGCCTTAACGTCACCACTTGACCTGGAACTTCACAGTAATAAAGAGACAGTCATGCCAGTTAACAAACAACGGGCTTTGATGATAGTGCACTGTGGCTGAAATGTAAAGAGGACTCGTGTTTTACCAGACACTTGCTTCCCTAAGTTATCAGATTGATCAAGAACTTTTGATAGGGTTTTTTGAAAGTTCCAGAAATTTCCATTCTTGATCGATACCAATGATCTACCACGTGGTAGTGTAAAACATTTTAGAACCTTCTCCGTAAGGGGTACACATAAGTACGCTTCCTCCTTGGGCTTAAATCACGATGTCAATTGCACGAGACCATGTTCGATACATCAACTTCTACGAGTGGCGCCGCGGCATTGGAGCGACGGCAACCGTTCGCAACATCAATAGCGTAAGGGGGAGTGGGGAGAGGGGGACATTTTCGAGGCCGTCAAATAGGATCCGGAAGTTAACACCCGCAGTCTTGCGACGAGACTTGGGTGCGCCCAATCAGCAGTCGCCGGTCGTCTTCAGGATTTCGGTTACAGAAAAGTGCTGACTCGATGGATACCTCATGTCTTGACCGATAGCACGCGGTACACCCGGGTATCCATTTGTCAGTCTCTCCTTCTTCGCCCACATCGCAAGGAGTTTCTGGAGGACCTAGTTACTAGAGATGATAGCTGGATCCTCTACGACGCTAACAAGCACCGCGCCGTCTGGCTCCCGCGAGGAGAACAGCCGCCGACGCAAGCCAAATCCGACCTGTACCCCAAGAAGATTCTCCTTTGCTGCTTCTGGGATTCAAAAGGAATGCTGCACCATGAACTGCTCAAGCAAGTCCACACCGTCACCGCTTCCTATTACGTTGGTCAGCTGCAGAAACTTGCGGAAGCCACTCGAGAAAAACGGCCTGACGAACTTTTGAGCACCTTCTTTATGATAACGCTGAGTCTCAAATAGGTTAAGTGACCCGTGCAAAATTGACCTAAGTGACCTAGGTTCAGTCGGCTCATTCGGCTCATTGACCTAGGTTCAGTCGGCTCATTAGCCCAACATAAACCCGTGCGAATTCAATGGTTCTGGGCAGCCGAAGGAACTGTCCTACGCAAGCGCTACGACATTTTGTCATTCGCCGAAATTCACATAAACAGCAATGTACACGTACTTGGGTCGGAAAAGAAATGTGATGCACGATGAACGACCTAACACTAGAGCTCAGCAGAAAGCTCTGGAAGAAGTCAACAATATTGAGAAAGAACGAAGAAGACGACCCAAATATCACCCCGTATATATAACGCGCTTCGTCTGTTTGTAAGTTTGTCTGTCCGGAAATTCGGTTCGACCTGAAGAACGACTTGGAGAGGTCGGGTCAAGGTGGAGATAGGTAGGGCATGGGACAAGAAATAAAAAGCACACTTGACCTATGGGAAGCCCCGCCCACAGTGGGCGGGGCACTCGCCAAAAATTTGGGGTTTCGCAGAAAAATGTTCTTAATTCGCTTCCGAGCAGCTTAAAGATCACCCCATATACAAGGGGGCCAAAAAAAAAGTCATTCCGGCCGAGTCACATATGAGCGAAGTTTTCGCAGCCCAGATAGAGAAAGTGGATATGAGTACCAGGGCGGAAGATACCCAAAATCTTCCTCTATAAGCAGGAGCCAGCTGCCGCCATTCACCTTCATGTACACCAAAATATGAAGTCATCTCCAGTCGCGGCCTGAGTGGAGAACGCCTTTGGAATTCACGTGGCCTCCAAACAGCTGCGGAACTTCTTGAATGGAATCACCCATGGACAGCTACCTGGAGACCAGTACTCTTGATCTGCAAGACCTCAAACATCGAGAGCTCCGGCACGTTGCTACGGTCCAGGACATCATCTTCACCCCATTCACCAAGGCCGGGTTGATGGTGTGGACCGGCCGTACCTGGAATGGATGAACCGATATTTTCTTCGTGGGCCCCAGACTGAGGGTGTGCGCTGGTGGCTACATCGAGCAACTCGAGGAGAATATCCCGTCTTCATGTCGTCGCCCGTACCTTCTTGGAAACTTTGTACTGCTACAGGACTGGGTGACAACACATTTAATCGAAGGGCGTTGGAAAAACTTTCGCCTACTTGGAATGGAAGAACGTTGAGTACCTGGAAAAGATGGAGTTATTAAGCAGGGGTCCTGAACTAATCCTCTCAATTACTCGGTTCGCGGCGCGAGCTCAACAGGGTGGTCTACAGTGGCAGAGAAATCAACGATCTCGCTCAACTCCGGTACCCACTCACTTTCGCGCGGCCGAATCTCTCGATGGCGCTCCTCCAGAAGACTGTGGCGGAGTAGCATTATAGTATTTAATGTGCTCTTTAATATGGTAGTGAAAATGTCCGATAAAAATTTAATAAAGTCATGGAGGCAAAATGACTTTTTTTTTGCCCCCCCCCCCTGTAATATAAAGCGTTTCGTCTGTTGTAAGTTTGTCTGTCCGGAAATTCGGTTCGACCTGAAGAACGACTTGGAGAGGTCGGGTCAAGTGGAGATGGGTAGGGCATGGGACAAGAAATAAAAAGCACACTTGACCTATGGGAAGCCCCACCCACAGTGGGCGGGGCAATCGCCGAAAATTTGGGGTTTCGCAGAAAAATGTTCATAATTGGCTTCCGGAGCAGCTCAAAGATGGGGAAAATAAAAGGGAATAAGGTTAGTAAGGAGACGCCAGACTAACTGTGGCAGACACATCCAAAATGGGCGGAGCGTACTCAAGGTGGGCGGTGCTTCTCGCAAAATTCAGTAGCCCGGCTCCTTTTGGAAGCCGCAAAAAACTCAGTGTAGAACGCAAATATGTGGCGAATATAGAACACGCTCAAAGTGTGCCGAGACCCGCCCACAATGGGCGGAGCTTGCCCTAAATCGCAGGGACTTTGTTTTGAAAGTGTGTAGCTCGGTTTCAGAACACTCCAGAGACCAGTGAATTCAGGTCAGCAAGCGGTCGCCGATTGAGAAATGTGGGGCATACAAATTGTGGGCGGGGCCACCCCGATGTGGGCGGTGCCAGACGAAAATTCTCTAAAACTGTCCCAGAACACTCCAGACACCGGAAAAAAGTGGATTAAGGTCAGCAGAGGGTCGTCGGTGAAGATTGTGGGGCACAAAAATGTGGGCGGGGTCTGCTCTGAGGTGGGCGGAGTCAGACGAAGAACCTGTAAAGTACAAGAGTGCTTCAGACACCGGAAAAAGGGGAGTACAGAACAAAAGGCGGATATCAGTTGAGTTTAGAAATGTGAAAGAATGAATTAATGATGTGAAAGAAAATACGCGCGGCGAAGCCGCGCCTGCCCGGCGCAGCCGGGCCGTATCAGAAGGCAAACACATACGCTCCTACCTCTGAATCTGCAGTTCTCTGTGCCTTAACCTATGCCTAACCAGGGGAGGTCGTTCAGGACGAGGAGTTTTTGAAAACGGTTTTTTGCATGGTGTAGGGTCGCGTGCATGGATTACCAAACTGACGTTCATTTTTCCTACGCGACTCTGGAAATACCAAAAAGGAGTGAAAAGGAAACCTATAGAAACCGGTGGTTTTTGAGCTTCTGTGAGCTCTAAATCACTTGCAACTTCGACCAGTTGCTGTGTGGAGGGACCTTATAAAGGTACTATTGTAATCGAGCAGAAAAATAGTCGCAAATGGGGTCATACTTGTGGCATGTGATTAAAAGTGAGTGGCTTTGAGCGGCTCGTCGATATGGTTTCTTCAACGAGGTTTCTCACGTGTTCTGCGGCCACCCAGGCCTATGCCAAGCATGACAGCACCTCATGCCCACCGAATCCGCGATACGACTGCCAGGCGGCTTGCCACGTCATCGTTACATCATCGCCGCTCCGAAGATGTTGGAACCATTGCCAACCAAACTGTCTACCACAACTCAAGATAGCCGAAAATTTTTGCCCTGAAGTTCGCCTGTAAGGGTAATCGATGGCCCTGATCACGATTCCAAATCTTATTTTTGGCCACGATGCAGTCTGGTGTCAGAATGGTCCTGAAGGTCCCTCAACTTAGAGTATATAACAAGTTAAGCGGGTGAAAAATTCCAAATTGGCGAAAAATGGCACTACAGCTGAAAGTAAGGGCCATAGTCGTGACCAGGGCACTGAATAATAACATATAAATATCAACTTCCAGAAAAGCTCTTGCCTAATGCTATGTGAAAATCGAAATTGTTGAATAGCACCGACTAATGGGGAATAACTATTAGGTTGTCCGGAAAGTTCTCAACGTTTTGTGCACCTATTTTTTGTACATCCACTGCTGATTAAAAACTCATTCTGCCTTGCTTCTCAGTAGCACATCCTGTAAAGAATTTCTTGCGCTATCTGATGGTATGATTGCCGTTTCACCATTGCTTCATAAACCCCGTTTTTTCAAAATTTTTTCAAGCATGTGCAAAGAGCACTTCGGACGATTTTTTTCTTCGACTATAAATTGGGGCAATCCGCCATCGAAACAGCTCAACAAATTAACCAGGTGTGGGGGCCCAATAATGCTAGAGAAAGCACTGTGCGGCAATGGTTCAACAAATTTCGTTCTGGAGATTCCAGCCTTGAAGGTGAACCTCATAGCGGTCGACCTAAAGCAATATCTGACGAGGATTTTATAGGGATTTCGAAGGCTGGCCCATCCCAAACAGTTCGAGAGATAGCAGAAGAGCTAGACGTTGGCAAATCCACTGTTGCAGATGGTCTGGAACGCATTGGGAAGGTGAAAAACTCGACAATTGAGTGCCCCACGATCGGAGTGACCGGTAGGAATCAGCACGTCTCGAGGTTCCTTCTGCATTGCTTTTGCGCAGCAGAAACGACCTGTTTTTGGGCCGAGTTGTCACCTGTGATGAAGAATGGGTCATGTACGATAACAAGAGACGTTTCGGGCAGTGGTTAAATCTCGACGAACCACCGAGGTAATTTTCAAAGCCGAACCCTCACGATAAAAGATTCTGGTCACGGCTTGGTGGTCATCGGCTGGTGTGATCCACTGTAACTTTTTATCACC